GTGTGTATGAGAGGTGTCGAAATAGTCCTTGGCATAATGTAGAGACTAACTCGGTTTCCATGTCAAATCAAGTAATAACACGACCAAGGATATTGTTTTTTCTCATTTCCGTTCTTCCATATTCCCTCACGTACAACTTCATGCACTAAATAATAACAAAACAAAAAAATGGAAGCCCATAATTGGATGTATTCCGTCCCACGGGTGTGAAAAAGTCGAAACTCCGCCGCATGAAAATTTTACTGATTCGGTTTTTCTAGATGGATTTCCCTCGGGGACGGGTAGACACACGGCTGGCGCCCTCCCCGCCACATCACCTGATTGCCGCCTCATTTGGACACCCGTCAAGGTGATTACGCGGCGTATTTCGCGTTTATTACACACCGCGTGTAGAACGCGAAGTCTACTCCACTCCGGGGGAGGTATTGACCTGTACTTGTACAGACCGTGTTATCGTTCGAGTCTCGACCGCGAATTCCGCATGCAGTTAGTTCACCCCGGGTTAGTGCACCCGTTTACGCCTGTATCATTCCGATTGAAAAGAAAAGGAAAAAAGAATTAAAAAAAAGGTTGACGTTAGCTGCATAAACCCGTGGGGGACTTGATCGCATAGCTCTTAGTACATTAGAAGTCGGGGGGGTGGGCGAACCATAACACTTCATGTAAAGACCATGTCCACTTCTAAGGAAGATTTTAGACACAACAGAAGGAGAAAACAGGGGTTCGTCTCACCAGAAATGTACCTACACTTAAGTGACATTGCGAGGGCTGGCTTCAAGGCATGGATGCACAACGCACCCAGGAATGAACGCTAGCTCCGGTCCTTTTCCCGTGAGGGAAACTGTGGACTCGATGTCCTGACAGGCTGGTATTTGTGCAACCTGCACAAACACAATACTGCACCATGATTACAAATGGTGGAATACAATGTAAAACTACCGAAAAATACCAGCTCACTAAAACACAATCGCTCAACTCAACGCAACTACTAACTATACCCGTGGTCAGAGAGCGGAGATGTGTCCCCTTTGTGATGTAATTGACGCGTTTGACGTATGACCTTAAAAAAAAGCCGTTTTTAAGAGCAGAGCTCAAAGTTGCTCCTTTCCCTCTGAATTCCTGCCCTTATGTCTCGTAAAACATATCAAATCTACATTCACTTTTTTAATTGTAATTTTCAAGCAAGTTTAAGCATAAATGTAGAAGAAAAAAAAAACCTGCAAGATGCTCTTTAAGCTAAAGTCAGAGTCAGGCATGCTGTTCTGTAGATGAAACTGACATCAGACCTTCCTGAGCCTGGAAGAAAAACATTCGATTGAACTGATGTATCTATGCTGTTACAGTGATAGCATTTGGGCAACGAACCCCTTGACTTTACACAGCAAGGAGTTAGATGAAAGGAAATGTCTGCATCCCTAAAATCATATATGGTTTACCATAATAAATTATTTTCCTTCGGTCAACAGATCATAAAATAGCCTTATGATAAACCCATAGCTGTTTGTCTCAACCGCCCACAAAGACTGTGGATGTCTTCATGACAAACGAGAAAGTAAAGATGTTGATGACAGCAGAGGAAAGGTCAAAGCTTTCTTTTTGTTTACAGCAATGTGTTCTGGGGGCTTTGCGAACTGTTGATTTCCCCTCCGAGCTGTATTAATCAGTATTGGCAGTCTGTCCATTATCAAATCACGCTGGCTAGTTTGTGAGGAGTGCATTGTAATATTGGATTACAGCCTCGGAGGAAAAAACAACCCTGTTGCTGGGAAATTAGAGTTATCGCGAACCGCTCAGTTTTTCCTTACCCATATGAGGAACACGGCCACAACTGGTGCACTGATAACACAAGGACAAATCCAGTCATTTCAGATGCTCATTGTGGGAGATTAACTTTAATAGACTGAGTGCACAGCCCCAGCATTTTCCGGGGCTTATTTATTGAACTAATAACGGTTTTGTCAACCTTGAGGCTTTGATTTCCTGCCACTCTCTCCCCCTGTTTATCTTTGCTCTCATCTGTTGCTGTGTTTCTTTGACCTTTTTCTGTTCTTGTCAGCTTTCATGTTTTTCGCCTGTCCGCTCCTGTCTCTCATGATCCATGCATTTCTTTCTCTTCCTCTTCCCTTTTGTGATGTTGTCCAGCCCTCTGGTGCGCAGTGACTCCCACCCACCCACCTACCTACCTTCCTACCCATCCTCTCCCTCAGTGCTTTGGTGGGCATGGTGCCTCAGCCGCCACCCTCCCCCCGACCACGGTGAGTGTGGTCATCTCTGCAGCGTCAAACTTAACATTTTAGTACCAATGTTTTCATCCTTCAGTCTGTGTATTATTTGCCAGTTTTACGCTTCTAATGCCATTGATAGTGGTAACAAGTAGCACAAAGATTGCTGTGAAAGTTTGTGACAAAGAAAGGAAATCGTCTCACCACAAATCTATACTGCGCTGAGTTTTGCCAGAAAAGTAACCTCGGTTCTCACCGTGACAGTTAGCAGCAAGAGCAGTGGTGTGACACAAATGCAGACACCTCCATAACCGATGTAGTAGTTTCCCTCTTGTGTTTTAGTCATGGAGCAGTGTTTCCCCTACCATTGTCTTGGAGGGGCGCTGTGCCCCGCCAACGGAGCCCCGCTCCCCCCCTGAAGTTCAAGGTGTTATTTATAAAATAAATAAAAGATTATAATTTTTTTTTTTAATAATTTTTTTTTTTTTATTTGGAACCAAATTGCAACTAATCTATAATTACTGTCACTTTTCCCATTGAACATGTGCTCTTTTATTAAATAAACTAAACACTTTCATTTTAAGTTGTGAGTTTAGTGTTTTTGACCCTAAGAAACACTGATACACTAATCAATAACAATAATCCACAGCTCCTCTCTCTGCTCCAGAGGATTTAAAAAAANTTATGTCTCGTAAAACATATCAAATCCTACATTCACTTTTTTAATTGTAACTTTCAAGCAAGTTTAAGCATAAATGTAGAAAAAAAAAAACCTGCAAGATTTTCTTTAAGTATTTTATATAATGCTGAAGCCTGGTAAGCAATAAAAATAAGGCTTGTAAATTCAGTATATTTGTTCAATTCCACAGCACTAATTCCATCGGTACAAATATGTCTGTCATCAATACTGAATACTATTTTCCTCCAGCAATTATTTCCAATCTTCTACATTGTTGGTTCTACATCGCTTTTACACTACAGTTAAGTTGCTTTTATTGTGAAACATATGAACAGGAAGTGCTGAACATCATGATGATGAGCTTCAATGCAAGATCATTGTAATTAAAACACATTGTGTATTGTTTTAGAACAATTAAAAATGTTGTTCCTGGATGGAAATTAGTGCAGATTATTCATAAATGGTCAAAGATGAAAGTGATTTGAATATTTGCCAAAGACCAAAATGTGTTGCATTAAGGTACATTTTGATCTTCAGCACATTAACCCAGTGATAGGTTACGATTGATTATTTAGGAGAAGAATACTTTCATGTTTTGTATATGCGGTTTCTATGTTGGTAATTGATCAACTGAAAGATCAAAGGACAGAGGTTTGAAACATCCTACCGGACAAAAGTTGCATGAAGTTTGAATCTACACAACTTGTAGATGTGGAGAGAGTGTTAAGTGTGCATTGACAGAAAATTCAAAGAGAAGACGATTATAAAACAGAGGATTCCTACTAAAATGTGATTAAATATACTTATAAGAAGGACGAAATAAAACTCAAAAACATGTTTAAAGTACACTCATAATTTAAATATTACATTTTTCTTTCAGTGCCATACAAATGGCTTTCTTCCAACACTCACTGCTCTGCTTGCGATACACAAAAGAAATGCATCTCAACATTGATTTTACATTCCAGTACCGCCTTACAAAAACAATTATGGTCACACACACAATGAGATCTGGAATGAGACCCGTATTACATTATCACAACCTCTATCACACATTTCAAACCGGCAAATAAACACTTGTGATCGAGGGCGACCTGAGACCACTGATTCAAACCTCATTTACCATGTTACACTCCTTCAAGACACTCAATGTAATTATTTTTTCATTTCTATGTTTTGTTGCTTGTCTTGTTTCTGTTTATTTGTTATATATTTTGTATGGTTATGTGATCCTGTATTTGAGTTGCTTTAAAACATGAACCTGAGTTTACATAGTCCAACCCTGGCCCTCACCCTAATCCAGTTTTACTGTAACACATATAAGATTTGAAGGTTCCTGTATGATGCTAAAGGAAAAATTGAAAAAAAGTATAATAATATGTGTTGTATTCAAATAAACAGGTTCTCTGCATGTGAAAATAATTTAAGCCCACTGCTAAAAAGACAGTTCACTGATCTCATTTAAGACTGGTCGTCAATCAAAACCCCAATATATCTAGTTTGCTGAGATATAATGTAATAGAAAAAAATCTAATACAAATGTAACATTGGAGAAACTGAAAACGATTCTTAAAGGACTTCTGAGATTCATTAAATAGTTATATTAAATACAATAAATGTATTATATAGGCCTTAGAACTTTGGTTTTGGTAAGGCAAGAAAGCCTACACTTTCAAATATGCCCTTTGGAGCTTTTTCTCCAACTGCTTGGAGTGCATTAAGAAGATCGACTTTTTTTAAAGTTTAATTGGACATCACTGATATCACTGCAATTCTCTACAACTGAGTGTCATAACACTGCATACTGCCTACAGCCTCAAAGAGGACCAGAGTTCAACGCTGAACATTACAGATCAATTCAATACAACAGGCTATATTGGCAATACAGTTGCCAAGTATATTATAATGGACAATGAATGAGATAACCACGGAAAAAGTGAATAACAATCTTTGATGAACCTATTAGTAAAAATAATTAAAACTGTGAATAAGTAAGTGAAATAAATTATAAATGAATTACATATTTAAAAACTACAGGGCTGCGGTGTCAGATTGCATCTTGACAGCTCATGTTCTTGGTTATTTGTACAGACAGACACTAACACACACACACACACGCACATACACACACGGGTTGTTAACTCCATTAACTTGGAACGTATCTTGAATGGGGGTCAGTGTTTGAGTCTTGCTTTTCCTTGTGGTATGAGCTCACATGACAGCAGGACAGGGTGTGTATCTTTATAGCAGCCTCTATCACACACACTTCTTTATCTGGCTGCTTTTAAACTTAATTTGTATGTCGTTTCAAATAGAAAGTGTTGCCAGTACTGCCAGCCAAGTCAGACGCACCCAATAAAAGGAAACCAGGAATTTACATTGTCATGGTTTCACACATAAAGTCAGAATAAACTGACTTGTTGTGCTGAATTGGCACGGCTCATACTGGTCTGGAGCCTCAGCGTTTCTTTAAACTGCTGCCTTTTAAGGACAAGGCACAAAGAGGACAGGGCTTTAGTCCTGATGAGAAAACTAGTATTACTGTTAACATATCAATCTTAGACAATTCGACGTTAAGATCAATTACATTCTGAAGTTAAGTTTTTCTAAAATACAAAACTGCACTATGATAAATCATAAATAAGAAACCATGTGGAAAGCCCCTCGCTTCGATGCGTGCATTAAGAGACGCTCCACCGGAACCCGCCTGAAACTCTGACACTTTATCATTCCTTTGCATACAGCGAGTTGGGAACATATTATAAAACATATTGCACCGTGGTTTCAGTTAAGCTAGCGTCTCCTGTTTGTTTCGGCATAAAAGCCAAGACACAATAAGGTCAGCTTTTAGTATTTGACCTTATTCCCCCCTTTGAACCCAGCACGGAGCAGTTTGCGGAGGGGGCGCTTGTGGGAGTTAACCAGATCCCGGTGAGAGAAGAGGAGATGTTATCACAGTGTAATTCAGTAGGTATGTGTCGGTGTTAAAGATGGCAAATGTGAAGTTGTTACATATAACTCGGGAAATATTCAGTAGGTGATGTTTTCTTGTGTCTTTGCTCCATAAGGAAGGTGGCATTAAATGGCCATATTTTTATATGGAGTTTGGCGGACGCAGCGCGCGACCTCATATAACGGATAATTACTCTAAGTAAAGTTTCAGTGATATCACAGCAAATAAATAGGCCTACAGCTTCAAATAAAAAAATGTTTAATCTCTTACAGATTTGTAAACATGTTATACTGCTTGAATGCTTCAAAGCGCAACTAGTAGATCTAAGAAGTTCAGAGCATGTCGGCTCTTTACCTTCTTCTCCGGTGTTCCCGCTGGCTCGGTCCAGAGTGTCGTTCAGCAGCAGAAAAGAAAGAAACACGAGAAAACGTCCCCATCTTGCCGGTGGTAGTTGGGCATTTTTCTGCCTGTGTTTACTGTACATCCCTGTGACCCTCGGTACCGCAGACCGTACTCCCTTTCCTCGCCGTTTTCAACTCTGCCTCCCTCCCTGACTCCGCGAGCAGGCACGAGAGCATCATGTAGCACTTCCTGAATGACCTATCAAAATAAAACATTCAAAATACAGATAGGTGTCACACAACTAAAATATTATTGTTCTAATAAGGGGATCATGTATTATTAGTATTATTATTACAATCATTTATATTATCACTATATTATTATTGTTAAAATGATCATTGATATTATTATTATTAATTTGACACACTTAAATATTGAGAGCAGTTTTCATTGGCCCACATAATATTGAGGAAGAAAGGCTGTACAAACTCAACCATCCCCAAAAGTAGTTCCCACCGATTAACATTGTGAGCGACGCATGTGATTCAGAAATGAACTAATAGTTAGTGTGAACAGTCTCCTGGTAATTGCATACTTGATTTTGAATTCAGGCATTACAAACAGATGGATTTGGAAGTATTATACTATTTTTCATCAATTTAGTATATTTCTCATATACAAACATGTCACAGAAGTGATTGGCTGAAACACCAAACAGATCATTGCAGCATCCCATAATCCCTTCTGTTTCAGCCCTGTTTCAAAAGTGTTGATTCTCTGTCTGTTACTTTAGATCAGGGGTTTTCAAAGTGTGGGAAGGTGAGCCTCCCCTCAGAGAACATGAGAACAGCCGCGCCCCCTCCCAAATATTATTGCTATTATTATTATTATTATGATTGTTGTTGTTGCTATAATGCAGGGGTATTCAATTGCATTTCAAAGAGGTCCAGTAAGAGAACAGGTCATTAAATGCTCTGTTTTCGCTGTCTACCTTTCTCTTTTTGGAGCACGCCATTTGAAATGAATCTCATAGCCTACTTGCCAACCCTCCCGATTTTCGCGGGAGACTCCCGATTTCATTACCCTCTCCCGAGCCTCATCCCAATACCCCTCCTCGATTCCTCCTTTCCCTCACTCGCGTTCCTTCCTTGCATCTTAGCTCCGCCTCCGTAAGATGCGAGCGAGAGACACGAGGAGGTGACGCGAGGACAGAGGAGTCCTCAGGAATTAATTGGGATGTCCTCGTTCACTCAAACGTCACTTTTAAACGACGTCTGTTAATGATGACATGTGCACAGCTGTATCCCCTCTCATCGGGCTTAACTGAATAACCCCTTAGACCCCGGCCCATTTCTGATTAAATGTTTATTTAAATGAATGAATCTTTCTCTTGTTAGTCAAGGCAGGACCAACCATCATACATTGAATTCCTTGACTAACAAGAGAAAGATTCATTCATTTAAATAAACATTTAATCAGAAATGGGCCGGGGTCTAAGGGGTTATTCAGTTAAGCCCGATGAGAGGGGATNACTCATGTGAAATAAATGCTGTTGTCAAGAAATATACCATAAGAAAATAAAAAACGTATATTTTGTTAAGACCATATGTGCACGATATTCTGTGGCTAATCTGAGACAATCTTGTAGCCATAATTTGCATTATCGAGTAACAGAATCCAGTTTACGCATTCAATGTTGCACTCGCGCACACATACTGCATGATTGTAGGCCACTTTACTGCGCTTTTGCCCTTTGTTTTCCCTGTTTTTTGTGGGTTTTGCATGGTTATTGCTCGCTTTGCGAGCGACTAAATTGATCGTAACGATATCAATTATGCAAGTTGCAGTGGGCTCGCGCGGCCTATCAGCCGTCATGATTTCCGAACCTTTTCTGTGCTTTTGCCGGTCGTTTTCCCTGTTTTTGTGTGTGTTTCGCAGGTTTATTTCAATAGGGTCTTCGCCGACCCCAGGTCTCAGACCCTAATGATTGTATTTGTGAATTTTCCTTTAAAGCTGCCGGACTCGGAGTCTTTTCCCCTGCCGAAAAACACCTCAGAGAAATGTCGGCGCTGTGTGGTCATGGGAAATGGAGGCATTCTCAGAGGCCTGGAGCTGGGTACACTCATCGACCGCTTTGACACCATTATCAGGTTCGGAACAAATTCTCTTATACCATTACAGATAACCACTGCGAATAACCAACAGTGGTGGACGAAATACTCAGAGCCTTTACAAAGTAGTATTAATATGGTCTAAATATACTCCATACAAGTAGAAGTCATGAATTTCAAATGTTACTTCAATACAGATTTTATTATCAGTAAAATGTACCTCATGTATCAAGAGTAACAGTATTCTTTTATACAGTATTTTAGAATAGCATTACTTCGTTTTAATCACTATATGTAGTTTGTCATCATGGAGCAAATTTGAGAAAAAAAGTCAAATATGATGTATATTTTAATTTAAAGTACTGCATCCAGTGGTGGAATGTAGTTAATTACATTTACAAAAGTACAATTATGAGGTACTTTACCTTCATTAATTTTGTGCTACTTTACACTTTTACTTCACCACAATTTTCTGAGTTACTTTACATACTAGATTATAAGCTAATACAAAATGTAAATATAAATTGACATAATTATAAGTAGATGTATGAAACAGCAGCATACAAAGTAAGTCAACTTGGCTCCACCTTTACCAGGTGGACATATTAAATCTTCAGTAATTTAATATTTATGATTCCAATAAATACTTTTACTTTGCGTACTTTAAGTATGTTGTTATGCCGATACTCAAATGCTTTACTTAAAGTGGACCTATCATGCTATATTTGAAACATATATTGTAGGGCCATACCTATATAAAACATGTCTGTGAAGTTTTTTTGTTCAAAATACCAAACAGATCATGCATTTTAGCCATGCCTCATTTCGCTCTATTTGCTCTTTTCCATCCCTGTTTTTGCTGATTCTGTGGCAAATGAGCTGCAGCTGACCACGCCCCCCTGCAAAGGAGGGGGGCGAGGCACGAGCGTCATGTTACCATGCTGTTACCNCCGTGCTGCATTTTCCTCCGGTCGGATGTGATATAAAAACAAAGCGATTATTTTTGTTGTTGTAAAGTCAAGTGGATTTAAACTACATGTATTAATGCATTCATTTCAATTCGCGAACATATGATACATTAAATGACCGTGAGGAATGATGATTGAAAATCGTTTGTTTGAGCCGGGCTGCATTTCCTGATGAAAAAACATAGCGATGGTTTTGTACTTGCACCAACATGAATTAAACAGCATTATTTTGTTAAATAACAACATGGTGGTGTTTTGTAAATGATTACATGTCTCTTATTTAGCACAGGATATGGTCCTATCCGTGACATATGGATCTTAACAAATATCCGCATATGTCGTAGATCTATCATCTGTTTATTTCACATGAGTTCCACTGTGGCAGCTTTTTAATCACGGCTCCCCCTGGTGGATCCATGATCCATTGCAGCTGGTTTCATTATCGTTACATTTAATTATCAAGGGGGCGTATCAAGTCCTGCGGGGGGTTTTCCTTTTCAGCAGAGGCCCAACCCATGCAGATCACGGACCCCTATCCGTGACATATGGATCTTAACAAATATCCGCTATAGAGAACCGCAGTGACGCTTCGTAAAACCTGGAAGTAAGTTAGCATTTTTAGCACTTCCGGTTCCTTCCTCAAAAAGCAATGCATTTTTTCCATAGGGTTTTGGAAAATAGCTCGAAATAAGGTATGTAGTTGACACAAATTTAAGAGGTAAATCACGATTTGTTCTACGAAATTAAATACATCAGCAGTGACCCCACTGGGGATTTTTGAAGAGTTTACGTGTCTGAAAAACGATGGTTGTTACCGAATGGCTGAATAGGACTACAGAAATTGTCGAGGCCGTTATACGTCATTACGCCGAACACGTAAACACTCCCGCTAAATTTGTTTTCCCCTGTGTTCTGCTTAAAAGCAAGTACCTGCCTATCTTTAGTATCTGTATTTTTGAAATTGTCGTTTTTAACACNAATGATTACATGTCTCTTATTTAGCACAGAGTATGATATCCGTGACATATGGATCTTAACAAAGTTCCGCTGTACATCCAGCTTACTGTATCTGACTTTATTTCACATGAGCTCCAGTGTGGAACCCCACTGCACCCCCTGGTGGATCAATGATCCATTGCAGCTGGCTTCATTATAATTACATTTATCTATCACGGGGGCGGTCTCAAGTCAAGCTGGAGGTTTTCCCTTGAGCGAGGGCAGATCACGTACCAATCACGGCCCTCGTGTTTCAAACTGTCTGAAATGAATCGCTACATCTGTAGGTGTATTCATGGACTCTGGCCTGAGTTTCAACAGTCAAATTAAAACAGTTACTAAATCAGCCGACTATCAATTTAAGAACATATCTAGGATTAAAAGACTAATGTCACAGCAGGATTTGGAAAAACTTGTCCATGCTTTTATCTTCAGTAGACTCTACTACTGTAATGGTGTCTTTACAGGTCTCACTAAAAGATCCATTAGAAAGCTGCAGCTGATTCAGAACGCTGCTGCTCGAGTCCTTACCAACACTAAGAAAGTGGATCCCATCACTCCTGTTATGAAGTCTTTACACTGGCTTCCTGTGTGTCAAATCATTGATTTCAAAATACTGCTGCTGTTTATAAAGCATTGAATGGTTTCGGCCCAAAATACATTTCTGACCTCCTGCTAAATTATGAACCATCCAGATCTCTCAGGTCTTCAGGGACTGGTCAGCTTTCTGTCCCCAGAGTTAGAACTAAACATGGTAAAGCAGCGTTCAGTTATTATGCTCCAAATATCTGGAACAACCCGCAGGTCCGCTGCAACTATTACTACTTTTAAATCCAGGCTGAAGACTTCTTTTTGCCGCTGCTTTTAATTGATATATTCATATCTTAAACTGCACTGTAACTTTTATTATCTTTGCTATGTATCTTTGCTTTTAAATGAGTGTTTTTAAATGTCATTTTATTTCACTGCTTTTAAATAATGTTTCTTAATGCTCTTAATGTCTTTCATTTTTGTAAAGCACTTTGAATTGCCTTGTGTTGAAAGGTGCTATATAAATGAACTTGCCTTGCCTTGCCTTATAATATATGAATGTGTGAATTGAAATATGATAATATGAGAGCAAAATGTATGAATGTGTGAGTGTAAATATATATGTGTGAGAGTGAAAATGTATGAATGTAAAAGGAGAATGTATGTGTGTGAGAGCAGAAGTATGAATTACGGCCTTTACAGCCCCTCATAGAAAACCCTTTGTCCCGGACCCTGTCGTGTTACTATCAGCCTGTCATTCATTATTTCAGCGAGATGTACGGAGGGAGTCACCCTGTCTTTATAAACTTCACAAATGTATTTATATTCTGAATAGGTTAATAAAAGGGTAATATTCTGAAAACCAAGATTTTGTTTGTTTCAAATCTACCAAAACCCCGAAATGACCAAAACCACAGTTATTGACCTAATCTACATTCTCGAATGCAAGTTATTTTTAAAGAGCGGGTCACACATATCTATGTTTTCTAATGTGTGATTTTTTTCTTACACCCCGAAAGGATGCAGAGTAAAAACTGTGCACTGTCTTCTAAGAGCTTAGTTGTGGTCTTAAACCTAAGTATTCATTTAACTGTGGGTACTTTGTGTGCAAGGTCACTTCATTTTCTTATCCGTCTCTGTGCCTTTCTTCAGAGCCGATTAAAAACATTGCCGCCACACACGTACTGATCAATGCTATCTGGCAGCTGATGAAACAGGAGTGTGATCGCCCATGGAAATACTGTGTTAAGTTCCTTATTAGCATCTAGGACTCCCGACGGGGGGTCAACTTCATCAGCTCCAACTCCAACTCTCAGTGGTAACGCTGGGCTGGTAGAGCCTGTCAATAACTTCCTTTGACCGGCCTGCACAGCTGCAGGAGCTCGCTTTGAAGAACATCACAACAGCTGAAGGATTCACTCACTCTCTCACACACACACACACACACACACACACACACACACACACACACACACACACACACACACACAGGATCATACACATAGCTAGCACACACACGTTATCTTTATTCATCTGGAGATTATATTGCACAACTCCTTGTTACACAATGAACTCAAGTACTATAGGGAAGTTTGGAGACAGTGGTCAAAAGGCAAGGCAACTTTATTTATATTGTACCTTTCAACACAAGGCAATTCAAAGTGTTTTGGAAAAATGAAAAACACTAGGAGCATTAAGAAATAATTATAAATATAATATATACAGTGGGGCAAAAAAGTATTTAGTCAGCCACCAATTGTGCAAGTTCTCCCACTTAAAAAGATGAGAGAGGCCTGTAATTTTCATCCTAGGTATACCTCAACTATGAGAGACAAAATGAGAAAAAAAAATCCAGGAAATCACATTGTCTGATTTTTAAATAATTTATTTGCAAATTATGGTGTAAAATAATTTGGTCAATAACAAAAGTTCATCTCAATACTTTGTTATATACCCTTTGTTGGCAATGACAGAGGTCAAACATTTTCTGCAAGTCTTCACAAGATTTTCACACACTGTTGCTGGTATTTTGGCCCATTCCTCCATGCAGATCTCCTCTAGAGCAGTAATGTTTTGGCGCTGTCGCTGGGCAACACAGACTTTCAACTTCCTCCAAAGATTTTCTATGGGGTTGAGATCTGGAGACTGGCTAGGCCACTCCAGGACCTTAAAATGCTTCTTACGAAGCCACTCCTTCGTTGCCCGGGCGGTGTGTTTGGGATCATTGTCATGCTGAAAGACCCAGCCACGTTTCATCTTCAATGCCCTTACTGATGGAAGGAGGTTGTCACTCAAAATCTCACGATACATGGCCCCATTCATTCTTTCCTTTACACGGATCAGTCGTCCTGGTNCTCCGCAGGGTGGCAGGCCTCTCCCTTAGGGATAAGGTGAGAAGTTCAGTCATCCGGCAGGGACTCAGAGTTGAACCGCTCCTCCTTCGCGTCGAAAGGAGCCAGTTGAGGTGGTTCGGGCACTTAGTTAGGATGCCACCTGAGCGCCTCCCTAGGGAGGTGTTCCAGGCACGTCCAGCTGGGAGGAAACCAAGGGGTAGACCTAGGACCAGGTGGAGGGATTATATCTCTTCACTGGCCTGGGAGCGCCTTGGAATCCCCAAGTCAGAGCTGGTTGATGTGGCCAGGGAAAGGAACGTTTGGGGCTCTCTGCTGGAATTGCTACCTCCGCGACCCGACCGGGAGAAGACGTGGACGTCGTACTGTGCAGTAATATGGTAATGGCTTGCTGTGATCACGCCTAACGTTACTGAAATGAAGAGACAAAATATATGGGTTGACCAGCCTCAGGTAGATCAGTTACATTTTGATAGATCTGAGAGTCGGCTTTGACTGTATTTAGTGTGAGTAGTTGCTTTTTCCCACCAATGCTATGCGCCCACATTCTTTAAACATTTACTCTTTTTTGGCAGAAAAAACTTCAAATAAATTAAGATGAAAAAGTTTGTACAAATAGAGTAGACCTTATGTATAACCTGTATGTGAATACATGCATCCTTATGTAGAAGCATTTGCGTTCAGATACGTGCATTGACGTGTGTGTGTGTGTGTGTGTGTGTGTGTGTGTGTGTGTGTGTGTGTGTGTGTGTGTGTGTGTGTGTGTGTGTGTGTGTGTGTGTGTGTGTGTGTGTTTTTCTCAGCATGCGCAGGTGTCGGCGCTCTCTCTCGCTGCCTGTTAGTTAGATTGATAGTCAAATTAATCCGCAGCTCCGTCCAGGTATAAACACTCTGCCTGCTGGCCAGGATACATCCCCCTCTATTAACGCCGTAATTCAACACACCCTCCAGCTGCCTGCCCTGATCATAGGAGGGTAATTGCAGAGAGGGTGCGCTTGATTTACTGATGGGGAGGATACGATGGAGTTGGTAAGGGTTGATTTGGAGATTAATTTAAGGCTCATTTTGAATTTATGTAATTGGAATTTGTGTTTTTTTGGTGACAAAAAACTCTCATCCAATATGCACAAATATGAAACACTAGCGGTCAGCCAAAGTACAGAGAGCCTGGAGCTGTGATGTAGCAGTGACACTGCCCTGCTGGAGGGCACTTGGGAAGTGATTGTGGACAGATGTACAGCCATTCGATCAAATTATCATCAGAGTGCATTGAAGAAAGAAATCATTATAGCCTCTATGTATAAACTGTCTGTGCACAACTGTGATAGCCTCCAACAAAGCTTTAAACTCTAACATGAACTCAGGAGATGAATACTCTGAGAACGAAATTAAGACTAATCCAATTTGCAGACTGTCATATTTTGTAGCAACGGATTTGTTTTATATTTTTGAAGCTGGACATTGTGATTTCCATTTAAAAGCATGTCATGCAATTTTAAGTAGTTTTTTCCCCTTCTTCTATTTGACATTGTTGCCAGTTGCAATGTAAGTTCATGTTTGTTCACACCTGACATCTGTTTCAGCATGGTAGCACATTCCTCATTTGTGTTATTCGATGGGGATACACACCAACACACACAGTGAGATCCTATGTTTTATTCATAGGTGTCTTCAAATGCAAATACAGGCGACAAACTGTACCCTTTCCTAGCCATGTTACAAAATAACAAGCCACACACTACCGACCCCACAAACAAACAAGCACACAAAAGCTGAGTGTGTATGTGTATCAGATTTGAGCTCAATTTATAACTTGCTGATAACAGAAGGGTCATCAATGTCAGCCACTCACATTAGACACAAAATGGCATCCACAAATCTTTCCTTTCACCCTTTAATTCTCCTTTTTCACCTAATTCATCTTCAGGAGGACAAGACTCAGCTTCACCAGACACATTTTACTAGCATTTATTTTCAAGTCGGGCACATATTTGTAAGGCAATTTCCCCCCCAATTTGTTTTTATTACCTACTGTTAGTCCTGTACAGAACAGCAGAGGTCACTTTTTGTTTTTTGCTGACTTCAAATCAGCTGTTATCGGGTGTCATACAGGCTTAAGGGTAGTATGGCCCTGCTCTACCTTCTCATTGGCTCAGTTTTTGTTATAATCTATGGATAAACCAGAACACAGGAAAAAGGATAAAAGTGATACGCCTATAAAGAGTGACTTATTTAAACAAGAATCTTATTTTAGCCCAAACCATTTTTTTTCTTCCTAAATGAACCAAGTAGTTTTGTTGCACAAATCTCACCCTGTAGCTTCTCAACGTTAACGCAAATTAAACTTCAACTGTTTCACGATTAGTGGAAAGTGCAATTAGCTGTTTGCATTTTCCCATTTTTTTATCACAACTAATAACAGCCATTTATTGGGCTGATATTATTCAAAATTTGTATTTGGCACAACAATTATTTTCAATATAATAATAACCAAACTCCTTATGTGTATATAATAAAACACTTGAATATTTCAGCAATTCTAAAACCTTTATTTGTTTGTATTCAATCATCCTATTATCACACTGTATCTCTCAATTACACAGTAAGACTTCAATTCCTAACAGAAGCTGCAAGCCTAGGTTATAGGGGTGTAACGGTATCCGTACGGTTCCGTCACGGTTCGGACGTCACGGTTCGGCACATGCAGTCACACGACGAATACGCCTTTTTTTACGAGTGGGAAAAAAGTCTGTCACTGACTCAGGGCAGTATCCATTACAAAGAGATCTATGATCTCAATGGGACCAATCGGATTAAATAAAGGTTTGAAATTTAGTATGGCGATTTCAGATAACACACAGGAGCTAGAACCCACCTGCTTATTTTAAATCAGCTGTGTGGGAACATTTTGGGTTCCCTGTGGACTACAATAACGATGGAGTGCGAGTGGCGGATCGGACGAGGACGGTGTGTTGCCGTTTTTAGACAGCGGTGCGGTATGCTGATGGTAACACACGCCAAACATGCTAAATCATATCAGAAGACATCACCCAGATTTGCCCATCACCGGAGCCTGGCGAAAGACAGTAGCAGTTCAACAGCTTATTTTTAAGAAAAAATATTAGACTGCCAATCACAAGGACATAAATGATCCCGGTAAACACCAGTGCTGGTAACTCTACTTTGTAGGCCTCTAAAGTGTGCAAGTCTCATTACAATTAAACAACCCGAGGCTATACAATGCAAACAGATCTTTAAACAGATCAATACGAAACATAAATACCATCTCTGCACTACACTATATTAACTCTTATTTAGCATTTCTAGCATCTCTTTTCTGTTTCTGGCATGCATGTTCCTGTCTGCTTGATAAAGCCCTGTGCCACATAAATGTCCTCTTCCTTCCTCCTGACAGATATGCACATTAGCAGCTGTCTTAAGGGCTGAGATGTTCCATTAACAGCTTTTATCTTCAGGGACATTCAGTATATTTTAAGTTTGTAAATAAGAACATTTTAACAATTTTCTTTGAATTTCCGACCAGTAGAGTAGCAGGAAAAACAATTGGTGAACCTGTGAAAGTTAATTAATAATGAAAAATGTTCTATCGGCGTAGTGTGAACATCGAGATAACTTCAGTATTTTAAGTGTGAAGACCTTTTTATCATTAGAGCATGTCAAAAAATTAGCAGCTTTTGAATAAAATAGGTTTTCCTTCAGGGCCTGTTTACTAACTGAAGCCTTTAAATGTATTCCACATATGTAAACACACCCACTCATAGATGCACAATTTGCATCTGTAAGAGGTGCAGAGAATGCGCTAAATGCTACTGACACAGCGTTTGCATTACCGTCTAATGGAATCGTCATGTTTATGGTGAGATATGCATAATACATTTATCTTTACATAGATGCTGCTTTTTCAGTTTAGTGTTAGGCTTCTAGCTTCTGGGTTGGACAGGCAGTGGGGGAGAGACCGTGACAAAGGCTGGTACAACAGTGAAAAAGAGACGGGACACATCAAGTGAGAAAAAACAAGAGGAAGCTATATTAGTTCTCCCTTTTTTAGCTCATTACAATTCAATGTGCGTTACTGGCATGCATGTAAAGAACAATATCATCAAAGCAACCAGATCAAAGAATGTGTTAACATAAAATCCCTTTCGGCTCTTGGATGCGTCAGTGTGTTTGTTTCTGTTCCTTTTTGATCGAGGATTTGGACTGTTTGAATAAAGATATTTCATCAGTGT